GCATCTCAGTTTTACTCAATACAATTATAATTTCAATAATGTGAAATGTCACATTAATGAAATACTTTTTTGTGATGTTTTATAACAGCCACGAAATCTTTATTTTTTCCGGATTGTTTTTTTAATTTTCATGAAATTCATTGTTGGTGAGGTTTATAGTAATCATCCTAATAACCTTTTGTGATGGGCGAATATATGTGTCGTAAAAAAGTCAACCCAAATTTGTATTAGCTTTTTCTTTTTAAATGTCACAAGCATGTGTGGATGGATGTATACACACATACATATACATATAATAAAAAATGATGAGTAATCCAATTGATTAAGACACTATAAATCTCTCCTATAAATCAAAGATTTGAATTTCTAATAAATCTCTCCTATAAATCTCGCATATAATTAAAAAATTTCTATTATATAATAAGCCGTTGTCGGTATAAAAAAGATTAATAGTTAATTGCGAATAGATCGAACAACTACTTTTCTGGATTTTAAATATAAAGAGAAAACAAAGACTCAATCCAAATGAAAACCATAGAAAAGTTTATTTTACGTTCATATACTTAATGTAAAGTATATTAGTGATATACCTCATATTAAGTATATTAATTATATTAGGAAAATATATCACTAATCAGTGTGTGGCTAATATAGTTCATATAATTAGATTAGTATATTAGTATATTTGATATACAAGTTATAGTTATAACTAATATACCTAATATATTTCATATTAATTATATCATTGACGTTGATATATATCAATAAGAAACCTACCATATTACTTAAACAAAAATCTTCACTTTGGACTAGATATATGAGTGATATACCTTACTCGAAGGATATCATTCATATATTTAATGTGGCTGATATACTTCATATATTAGTAACTGGCGCAAAATTGAAATAACAAAGAAAACAAAAATTTAATTACTTTTTTTTTTTCCATATTGGCAATACCAAAAAGTTGTTGCTACATTTATAAATATGAAAAATGTTTTTGTTACCCATTAAAATTATTGTAACATGTGGAACAAGGTATTAAGCTTCTAGTGAAATTAAAAGTTAAAAAATTAAGATTCTTTGGGATTTGTAAAAACATAATTGCAACATCCGAGTTATAAATTTTAGATGGAGGGCAAATTTTAAATATTATTAAAAAGATTAATTAATTTCATTTTAGACTGTAGAGATTATAGCATTGCAATTTTAAGAATCAAAACTTTCAACGGTTACTAGTATCCTAATTTTTCTTAGCAATTAACAAGGAAAGGCAAGTTATATGTATCCATTTGTAACGTTCTCTAAAATAGTCCAAGTTTTTGTTCCAAAAATTGCATTGTAATCAACAAGGAAAAATGAAATGAACTGTTTTAATATGGCTATGAAAGGTAAGTTATATCCATTTGTAACGTTCAAGAAAAAGCCTTCCCATGCAAAACATAAATAACTTGCTAAAAGTGGCCTATTTGCCCTTGGTTGGGAAAGAATTTCAAATTTGGCAAGTTGTAAGAATAAGTTAAAGCCAACATGGATTTAGTTTAGCGAAAATTGATATCTGTTCTCTAATTAATAGGTCATAATTTCGAACCTCAACACTCTAATATAATCCCATAAATGGAGGAAATAAACCTACCATAATTTTCAATATAATATTTCTTAATTTATAAAAAAAATAAATAAACGATACAAATCAATCCAACTCAAATATTCACTATAAATTAGAATCATTCTACTCTGTTTGCCTCTAAAAGAGATACAATTCTAGAACACAAATATCTGAAGAAAATCAATTGAATTGCTTCGTTTTTAAAATGGGTGGTCTCAAAAAGCTTTTGATTTTGGTGGCTTTGGTCGTGCTTGTTTGTTCCTCCACAACAACTGCAAGGTCAACATGGCCAGACAAATGGCGTGTGGACGTCGTCAATGGGTTGAGCAGCGGACAGACACTGTTCGTACATTGTAAGGGGAATGCACAACCTTGGTGTCAGAGTTCAATTCGGTTGGAATTTTGAAGACAACATTTGGGGAACCACACTATTCTAGTGTTACATGCGCAAACCAAACAATGCTAACGCTTCTTTTGAAGTATATTGGGACGACAAAAGTCAAGAACAATGGCTATATACAAGATGCGATGGGGAGCATTGCATTTGGACTGCTAAAGATGACGGAATTTACCTAAAAAATAACCCTGTAAACAAGGATGAGTTTGTTCGCAAATGGGGATGAAGAAGCTGACGAGGGTATTCACAAAATTGTGCACCATAGCATATGTCACATTTATTTTCTTTTCCCATTTTGGTGATTTGCTAGTAAGTGTGGTGGAGCTTAAATTAATAAATGAGAGAATTCTCTATGAACTCTAATTAAACAAGTTTATTTTCTACTTTTTCTCATAAAAACTCTCATCAATTTGTTAATCGCATATAGTACACAAATTTAGATTTCTAAAACCTATATTTCATCTATACATTTAGCTGCATAAATTATAATAGAAAATGAAAACCAAATGTGCCTTTGCGCCTACAATGCTCTCTTGCCCTCCTTTCTTATTAGTGTTTTATGATTTTTCTTCATTATCTTATGCTTCTTGTGTAATATTAGGCAGTCTATTTTTCATGGAAAATAAGGGATGAGAAGAATACTTTTTTAACAAAGCTAAGAAAATTCTTTTTTTTTTTTTTTTGGAAACGAAACCATTTCATGCATAAAGTATGTGAGAGCACTCCAATTAAGAATGGTTGATATATCATAATTATAAAAAAGAGGAGACTTTATAGACCAGGAAAATGCTAAAGTCTTAATATCTCCCCAAAGATGAAGATAAGATCTCGAAAAATCATAGAAAATACGATTATTGCGCTCCAACCATATAGGCTCCAAATGAGAGACCCCATGGCATTGCTCCACCATAAGCTAAGAAAATTCTTTTAAAATCCACCAAATAATCATATGCTAGCAAGGACTAGTTTTATACTAATATTTCGTTCCTAATTAACTTTGAGGAAAATATATGGTTGCTTGATTCAATTTTATAAAATTATGAACTGAATATCGATTTATATTATTGAAACATTTCATTTGTGAAAGACAATACAATAAGACATACAATAATTTAGAGTATGTTTAGTAACCTTCTTTTTAATAAAGAAAAATAGAATTGCATCAACACTCATAAATTCAAGAATGATGAAACAATATTTTTATTTATGTTTTGAAACAAATTGGAAACGAGAACAAGAAACAAAATTTCTTACAATTCTARAAACATGAGAAACAAAAAACATAAATAGTTGCAAAATGCTTAGGTTTCTGAATAAAATTAGAAACGAGAAAACAATAACGTTACGGAATCAGCCTTTAAAAATCATTAGAAAAGTGGAGCGATAAAATTGTGGTCATTTCATTGTGCGTCCACTACAAGAAAGTTAGTAAACAAAAAATAGTGATAGCAAATGGTGAGAGTGAGTGTCGTAGAAGTGCTTCTAGATCTGGAATAATAAGGAAGAATTTGGAAACTAAACTTTCTTGCTTTCCTGTAAAAATAAAAAAAGAATTATGGACATGAAACCCTGATTACATTGCTGCAGGCCAAAATTAGATTTTGAAGAGCAAGTCAGAGAAGACAAAGCGTTGAGATAATATACTTTCATCTTAATTTCGATCGATCTATTTAGAGAAGGGGGTTTTCTTGATCACTTGAGGAGAATTTTAGGCAAAATTAGCATGCATCATTATGAAGATTTAGCCCGCAAAAGAGATTATCTACTCCATTTTTGGGTTGGGGAAGATAATATTTATCTTACTTGTCTTATGTCCATAGCCATAGAAAAAAATAATAAAAGAAGTAGGACGAAGCCAAAATGCTCTTGGATGGGGCAGTTTCCTAGAGAGATAATATATGTGTATATATATATATTCTACTTTCATGTCGAATGTAGTCTCATTTTGAGATCATGAGAACTTTGTAAATGACTATTTTTAAGRGTGACAATAACCTTTGAAAAAATATATTAAATGAACTTTCTATAAATATTTTTTTCCAAAGGTGAATTCAATCTTAAAAATGTGTAGTAATAAGTCCAGTCCAAAAAACTTTTTCAACGTTCAATTAACCTTGAAAATTTTTCAAAGGTTCAATTAACCTAAATAACTAATATTTTCCGTACGTTGCAAATCTTTAATAAATTTCAAATTAGTTATCGATAATTAAATATTGTCAAAAACCTTTTTCAAACGTTTTTATTATTTTTCAAAGGACATTATTATACTATTTTCAACAATTTTTAAACTTTGGAAAATAATTATGATAAGCATTTTTAAATGCTTCGAGTAGAACTTAATAGCATTTGAAATGAATATTAAGTTATTTTATTTTATTTTAAAAAAATTAAATTACTTTTCGTAGTTGAAATTTATTTTTAGCTATAAAATGTTGTCTCAAAATAGTGCACTATGTCATTTATATGCAATATTAAATTTGCAAGTAGTTAATGAAAAAAACAAATAGTGGCTAATGAAAAAACATTCGACAATCAATAACAAGTCGAGTCTTTCTAAATTAATTCAATTAATACAATCAATAAATGACAAAATCACTTTCATTTTTATGCATCATATTTTTAAAAAACCCATAAAATCACTTAAAATTGAGCCTGTATTTCAAGACTAAGGATACAATCAATAAATAACTTCCTAAATGTGGCCTATATTTGCACTTGGTTGCAAAACCATTTCAAATTTGGCAAGTTGGTAACAACATATTGCATACAATTCAATATAATCCCATAAATGAGGAAAGAAATCTACCATAATTGTCCATATTTCTTAGTTTATAAGAAAACAAATAAACGATAGAAATAACTCGAACCATTCCAATTTAATATTCAAGGTCAGATACCGTTAAATTATAAATAATCCTTCTCAACTATTTGCTTCCAAAAGAGATACAATCCTAGAACAAGAAAATTAAATCAATGGAATTGTTTCATTTCCAAATGGATGGTCCCAAAAAGCTTTTGATTTTGGTGGCTATGGTCCTTGTTTGTTCCTCCACAACAACTGCACATTCAACATGGCCCAACAAATGGCGTGTGGACATCGTCAATGGGTTGAGCAGCGGACAGACACTGTTCATACATTGTAAGTCCAAAGACGATGATTTGGGAATACACAACCTTGCAGTCGGAGCTAAGTTTGGTTGGAACTTCAGAGACAATCTTTGGGGAACAACATTGTTCTGGTGTTACATGCGCAAACCGGACAATGCTAATGCTTCTTTTGAAGTATATTGGGATGACAAGAGTAAAGAACAATGGCTATATAATTTTTGCAATTGGGAGGATTGCATTTGGACCGCCAAAGATGATGGAATTTATATAAAAAATATCCTGGGGAATAAGGACGAGCTAGCTCACAAATGGGGATGAAAAAGCTGAAGTAGGTATTTACAAATATATATGTACCACATGTCACCTTTGTTTTTGGAATATATGAACTCTTTCTTTTTATCAATATTTACGAAGTTCCATTCTAATTGAATTTTATGTCAGGTCTTTTGATCTTTTCTTTCTGCTCACCAATTTGGGTCGGATCTTTGAGATTCTATGTCAAAACCAAATTGACAAGAAAATGACTAGTAAATGTATCTTATAGATTTTATTGGGTCTCTTGATCTTTTCGATGTGAGATCTTTTAAGACTCCTAAAATTCTTTCTTCTATATGACCCAATACAAGTACATGAATTGGGAACTTTCGAACTTATACAAACTCAAACTTCACCCATTGAAAACCAGCCTTATCAACCCCAAAATGATATAAATTAGCTCCAATTTTTTTTCTCTCTCTCCAACCTTTGTTATTAGCCTTTTCTGATTTTATTTTTCTTATACTATGTTTCTTATATAATATATTAGGCCCATGGTGCAAAAATAAGAGTTAGGAGAAGAACAAAGAAGTGGCGAACCTTAGAAAATGTAGTTGTCAGTGGGAAGAATATATATTATCAGTTGTGCTTGTTTTTTAATTTGAAATTGTTTGTGTTTAAGTTTTGTTAGCTTGATTGGAACTTAGTGATGTGAGAACTTGTGAGTGGAAAGACTATATATTATGCAATATTAGTCCTATCATAATAGATATTGGTGGGTAAATTCAATAATCACCCACACATGAATGTCTCATTACTGAGATACTTGCCATTATGTTGATATGATTTTGATATTCATTTGAAAGTTACTCATGGATTTGTACTTAAAAAACAAAGTTACATAGGTATAAGATCGATACATACAAGTATGTTGTTTAAATCGTTTTGGTCCAGACGACGAGCCTTTAGTTACAATTCAAGTGCTGAAAAACACTACAATATTAGTTATCAAAGACATGAAGTTCACTTAAAACATTATTGAAAATGTTGATGAAGTTCATAGATTGACCATAGAAATTAGTTTATTAGTTTAAGTTGTCTTAAAATTTTTCTTTTTCAAGTGCAACAATGGGTGGGGGATTAATTTATCATTAATAAGTTTTTTAGTACAACGTGTAGGAGCGGAAAATAGAACTCACAACATCTCGGTTGGAGATATATGCCAATTACCGCTAAGTTACGCTCGTTTTGTCAATCATTAATAAGTTAAATGTATATATGATCTCCATATTATATTATTAATTTACTAGTAATTAGGAAACAAATTCAATCTTAATCCATCTAATTTATCAATAAAGTAATAGAAGATAACCTAAAAAAAATTAAATAAATGAAGTAATAGAATAGAATAAGTCCATGCAAATCAGTTGAAGAGTGTTTAAAAAACAATTTTACTTATTGGAAGTAACCATTATTAGTAATTTTAGTTCGTAATAATTTTAGTTCCTGTACTCTCGAATGAGTAACAATTTAATTTAATTATTGAACCTTAGTATGCAACAATTTAGTTTTTATAGTCTAAAATTTGTAACAATTTAATCCTTACCATGAACAGATCTCATCAAAATTAAGTGTCAATTTTTATTATGTAACAATTCAGGTTTTATAATTTATAAATGCATTTGGTCTCTCATCATTACTTTTATCGATCTACATATATAATAATTAAATCTCATCAAATATTAATAACGTTTGATACGATATGTACTAAATCATTATAAATTTTAAACTAAAGTTCGGAGATTAAATTGTTTCAAATTTAAAAATACAAAGACCAAATCATCAAGTCTAAATATTAAATAGTTGCTTCAATAAAAGTGCTTACACTGAACCTTCTATTTTATTTTTATTTTAGTTTGCAAACACTAAATGGAAAGAACATTGGCTTGTAAGGAAGGAAAGTACATTATTTACTTTCCTTTCTTATAAGTGAAACTGCTTCTAACAACTGTCTACATGTCAATTAAATTTTTATCCTTTTATAGAAGAAAAATTAAAGCATATATGTTGCAAGCAATAAGAATTCACAAAAAAAAGTGCAATGTATCACAAAACAAGATCTGTCACAGTTGTTATCTTCCTCGTCTCGGAGGTTTTTGCCGTCCTTCAACTAGGCACAGCTGCTTCGCTTTCTTCAGCCTTGCTCCCGAAGTGGCACATTCATGTGGTTAATGGTTTGAGTAAAGTGACTTTGTTCGTGCACTGCAAGTCAAAGGATGATGATCTAGGTGTTCATAATCTCGTTACTCGTGGAGATGAGTTTCAGTGGACGTTTCAGGTCAACTTTTGGGCAACGACACTCTATTGGTGCTATTTGAAGAAGCCGAATGCCGATGTGTCGTTTGAATCATTCTGGGTAGAGCAAACTCATATGTGGCTTCAATACCGGTGCACTGATAAAAATTGTATTTGGACTGCCAAAGATGATGGAATCTACTTGAGAAACAATCCCGATGGTGTCGATGAGCGTATTCATGAGTGGATCAATGAAACTTAGTTGATTATGCAGAAGTTCTCTCAGAATTTGTATGACTGCTTGATGAGTAGGCATGCCCTTCGTTTGTTCTTCAAGTTATTACTTCCGTTTTTTAGAACTCTCCACCCTTAAGAAATGTCATGAGCTCTAAGTTCTAATCTCTCCATTCTTACTGGGTGCCTTTTTTGGGAAAGCAAAAACTGCTACATTTCTTTCAAATAATCCCTACTTTAATTGATGATTTAATTACTAAGTTATATATAACTAAATATATGAAATAAGTAAAAAGGAAAAGCTTATTTATAATATGCAATTTTAGGAACATTTATTATACTCAAAATGGTTTAGAGAAATAGGAGATTACTGTAGTCCAGTCAAATGTTTTGTTTTTCAAAAAAAAAAAAAAACACTTTATGACTTACGTTAAGTAATTTTTCTCTTTGGTTGAGAAAAATGTATATTTTGGCTAAATTTTCCATTTTTTCATTACTTTTTCATTTTTATTTTATCTTTTTGCCAGATTAGAAATAAGAAATATTTAGTGATTTTCTCAATGGCTTGTTCTCAATTTTAATTTCTATTTTCTATTTCCAGTTATTTTCTTATAGTTTTTGTTACTAGAAAAAATATATGTCATGCATCAGAAGGCAAACTAAACCACTTAGGCTGGGTTAGGAAACCAACCTGGCATGATCGAGTGCACTGGAAAGACTCCAAACTGCATGATAGCTGAGCACTCCTAAAGATCTCGTACGATGGACAACTAGCAGGCAGGATTATTGACACATCGTCTAACCAAACCGCTCGTAGCGGACTAAGGACACACAGAATGCCGCGAAACCCCTCACCTGTTGACAGCGGGAGGTAAAATATGTTGGTAGTCCCCAGATACCCTTGGCACGACATAAATCTCCCCTGTGAACGCTGAAGGGAGTCGATATACCTCCCCCTTATACCCTCTCCATCTCATATATAAAGAAAAGGGCCAACGTTCCTAATGAAGGTAAGTCGCTGTGAGGATTTGGTACACACTCTTAAGCATACTCTCACCCTTAAGATTCCACCTCACTTCTTCTTTCTATGACATACCCGTTTGCCGCTAACTTGAGTTCTAACTTAAGCATAAGAGTGCATTCGACAGAGAACCACACCGGTGAAAGATTTTTATGTGTGCATGTATAAGATTACTGGAGACGAATGCATAGTGTGACAGTCGAGGGGCACCTATGTGGACCGCACCCAAAAATCGACATCAACAATTGGCGTCACCTTTTGGGGAGTTAGTTAATAGACGAGTGACTTTATTCCTATTCAACCTTTACAATTAGGGATGACCGACAAGGGAGATATCGACCTTGTAGCAACGACAATCACGGAGAGACTCATGCTTGCATGGGGGCAACCTTTTGAGGGCCCCACAGCACAGAATGAGGATGACCAACGAGGCTCCCTCGCTAAGGAACTAGAGCTTGTACTAGTACAAAATCGAGCTTTAAAAAGTCAACATCGAGATAAAGTTGGGGCTCGACTACAGGGAAAACCTCATAAAAATCTTGAGAAATCACGTACATGCATGTTTTGCATGGTCATACGAGGATAGCCACCCTATGAGGGCCCTCCAGCACAGAAAGAGAAGGACCAATGAGGCTCCCCACTGAGGAACTAGAGCTTATCCCCTTTTCACATAATATGAAAATGTTAGCATTGAGACAAAGTTAGGACTCCAGAGGGAAAACCTTATAAAATTACTAACAAATCACCTAGATTTTTTTGCGTGGTCATACAAGGACATGTCGGGAATCGACCCAAAATTCATGATGCACAGTCTTAGCATCGACCTCGAATATAAACCCGTGAAATGGAAGCGATGCTTCAGGGATGCTAAACAGAGCAACAACATTGCAGCAGAGGCCAAGAAACTTCTGAAACCTGGCTAACTTCATATGTGAAGTGCACTATCCGTAGTGGCTCTCCAATGTTGTCCTTGTGAAAAAGGCCTACGACAAATGTCGAGTATATGCATCAACTTCACAAGTCTAAACAAGGCTTGCCCCAAGGATAGCTTTCCCCTCCCATGAATTGACCAAATGGTCGACGCGACGGTCATCCTCAAAATGCTCACGTTCATGGACTCATACTTTAGATACGACCAGATTAGACTGCACATCCCGAACTAAGAGCACACCCCTTCATAACGGAGCAATGGCTTTACTGCTACAGGCCCTTCGACTTGAAGAACGTAGGGCCTACCTATCAAAGGATGGTGAATGGAATATTTCCCAAGCAAATAGGCCAAAATGTGGAGGTATAGGTGGACGATATGCTTATGAAAAGTAGGGAAGCCACCCAGTATAAGGCAACCTGAGTGAAACTTCTGACGTAGTGAGAAAGTACAACATGAAGTTGAAATCCCAACAAGTGCATGCTCGGGGTCACCTCACGAAAATTTCTCGACTTCATGGTCCATCAGCGTGGAATAGTGTATTAAAAATGGCTAATTACCTAAAGTGTACAAGTCAAGTTCTAATATAGTTTGTRAGTTAATACTGATATCATCATCTAGATTGAGTTTCTAACCTAGAGTACCACAACTATACAATTGTTAAATTTTATTTATAGAATCAAATCTATTGAGATAATAGAATTAAAGTAAATAAAATGCCATAATAAAAATAAAATCAATAGAAAGAAAGGTTTATAGAATTTATTTCACCTTTTGAATCTAGGAACAAATTACATAACATAGTTCGTCAATATTGAATGAACTTTTTAACTTTTTCTACTTTATATGAGAAATACTAATTCTTTTGTCAAAATTATGWACCAAATTAATATAACTGAATTGAAACGGTCCATGTATATTCATATTTTATTGCTAAGATATGGGAATCTGTTATTAAAAAAAAATGCAAGTTTTTCTTATGGTGCTTGGCATATCGTCTCCTCAACATATTCGACAGGATCCAATCTCGGATGAAAACCCTCGACTTCTCTGTAAAAAGATCAATAAGTCCCTTGATCACCTTTTTATGCATGGTCCATATTCTCTAGAGCTCTGGTACATTTTATTCAACGAATTTAGGCTTTCAATTGTGCTCCCTGGCTTTATTGATTCTTTTATATAAGAGGCTCTTTTTTCTTAAGCAAAATCCAGCCGTATTACCATTTGGTATTCTACAGTGAGTTCGCTTTTATGGCACATTTGGTTGGAACAAAACAACTGAATATTCTCTCATCATGATTCGCCATTCACTCATCTTTGGGAGGAATCAAAGTTTCAGCATCCAATTGGTCCTTCAAGACTTTCCCTTTTTGTAATTACGATATTTCTACCATATCGCTTAATTGGAATGCTTTCATATAGTCTCCGTTTTATATATTTCTCACAAACTTCTTAATGAATTGATTCGTATCTTTCTAAAAAAAAAAGAGTGGTGGATGTATACATAATCACAACATATTTTGGTGTTAATAATAAGTTGTAATAATCACAATGAGGGTAACGCCCCAAGCCCAGAATTCGGAATCTGGTTTCGGCACTCTCTACGGCATTCCCCTACGACCTGGCTGTTGAGCCACCGAAAAGGAATGTGCACCTTGTTGGTATAGGTAGTGACTATCAATTATTTTAAGCCTTTCTTGACCATTCTTCCATGATCTCAAGATCTCGGATGTGGTATCGGTACATTCATGTACCCTTACTCTCTASTCGGGCGTCACATGCAGATTCCTTTGTTCCAACAATGTTTGACGCTTACCCACACCAAAAGGAAGCTTGATTTGAGTTACCCACACTCGACGTTGACCCACTCTTATTTGGACCCAAATAAGCATTACCATCGCTTTTTGACATCAGAACATCAAGCTTAAAGCCTTTTGAACTCGGATTTGGGAGCCCGAACGTCCTCGATGTCTACCCACTCCTAATCCAAGTTGTTTTAGTGTGAGTTGGTAGGTAACGACTCACCTTAACTCGGTTGCAATTATGTTTATGTGTTTCTAATTGGTTACTAACCTCGAGATTGTACTCCTTTTGTTTTTAGGAAGTCTTTGACAAGCTTAGGAGCTTTAGGACGTTTGAGTAAATAGTTCTTACTTCTGGGGATGTTTGTTGTTTGAATATGCATGAACTGTTTGGTGTGTTATGTGTTTTATTATCCAATAATATGTATGTTGATTATCTATTTGTGAATGTTAGTGATTATGAGTATTTTGGACAAAATAATGTTGGTTCTGATTGAATGTGATTGATTAGCATTGTGTTGTTGGACTCAGTGCTTAACCGTAGTTATGAAAGCATACTGGGATAACCTTAGAGAAATTTGTTGAACACATCGTTTATGAGTTAGAAAATGTTATGGTCATGGCTTCTAGCATGTAGTAGAACTCTGGTGAGAGTGTTCTGTTGTGAAGTGAATGGGTGAATATCAGGGCCAGAGAGCTGGTATGTCACTAGTTGGGTATCAAGGCGTCGTGTACAAAGGTCGGGGATCGATACGTCAACTTTGGACAAAGATGAGTGTCGAGGCTTCGAATAAATGGTCGGGGGTCGATGCGATGAATCTTAGATGGACGGCAAGTATTGGGGCCTTGTGGGAAAAGGACAAGGACCAATATGTTGCGAAGTCATCGAGGCTTGGAATATAGATGGTCAAGGGTCGATAGAACAGTTTGAGGCCTCGGGTAAAGGTCGGGGATCGAATGCCAAGCGTCGTAGAGAAGTGTTGAGGCTCTGAATAGATGGTCAGGGATCGATGCGACTCGAAGCATGAAGTTCTTACGATTGAACCACCAAAAAGGAAGGTGCACCTTGTTGGTATAGGTAGTRACTATCAATTCTTTTAAGTCTTTCTTGACTATTCTTCTATGATCTCAGGATCTCTCTCATTTGGATGTGGTATCGGTTCGTTCATGTACCCCTCCCCTCTAATCAAGTGTCACATGAAAATGGATCTTCAAACGACCTCTCTACCCCATTTCTTCACTTTGCGACTTGGATGATTTTGTTTCTTCGGCTTCCAAAAAAAGTGACCAATCCAGATTTAATGGCCAAGCAAAAGAGAGAAGCCACTTTCTATCTTTTAAAAGATTAAAAAAAAATAATAAGAGAAGCCACTTTCTGTCTTTTAAAAGATTTAAAATATATATATATATATATATATATATATGATTTTTTACTTGAAATTGAAATTACAAAGTTTTAATGTGCATCATACATATTTCTTATTAATATATATATAATTGTATAGATTATAGAAAGAGACTAAATAAACACAACGGCTACTTAATTTTGTAATAACTCTATTATAGCTTCAACAACAAAGTTTTATACTCATTATTATAACCTCAACATTTATGCCTCATGAGGGAGTACACATGATGCATGTTGTAAATATCCTCTTTCAAAGTTATTAAGTGACAAATAGTTTCATTCCCACTTGTGAACAAGCTCCTCTTGATTCAAAGGGATATTCTTTAGGTAAATTCCATCATCTTTGGCGATCCAAATGCAAGTTTTCCAGTCGCATCATGAGCATTGTTTGGCTTCTGCAAGTAGCACCAAAAAAGTGTAGTATTCCATATATTGTCTTTAAAAGTAAAGCTGTATTGAGTTCCAACGTCGAGGTTGTGTTCTCCCAAATCGTCGTCCCTTGATCTACAGTGCACGAATAGCTTCTCTCCGCTATTCAACTCATTGATGATGTTCACATGCCATGTCATCAAGAGTGGCAATGACGAAACTGATGTGGAACATCCAAGAAGAACCAAAGCCACCACAATCATCAACAACCCTAATGGCTCTTGTAGAACACCCGTTAAGAAATAAAGCAATTTAGAAATTGTTTCTAATTCTTCTATTAAGAAATTAGAAGCAAAAGGAAAGCATGGATGTGTATGCAGGTGACTCCAAAAACATATTTATAGAGTCACTTGCTTGAAAGCAAATGAAATGTCATAGTTAAATTATACATGAAAGATGAATATATTTGCCAATATCAACATAGTTCAGCAATAATTAATACATACTCCTTTGTTTGAAGTGGAAGGTTATAAGTCTAATACCGGATATTGTACTAAARACAAAAAGTTGTTGAGATATTAAAGTTTTTATTTGAAATTTTGAATTAAAAAAATAGTGAAAATGCATGATGTTAGACTTTTTCCATCCCTTTTAGGATATTATTTATATTGCATGCATGGTTGTAAAGTAGCTACATTTGCCAATCTTGCCAAGTTTAAAATAAAGTTTCCATAAAAGCAATTTTGTGGACTTGCAATGAGACAATTAGCAAGTTAGTTATCGATTAGTTCCCTAATTTCGGCTTGGAAATCTCTCTTTAGCTAATCTTTAAAGCTCACCCTGTGAAGTTTTAACTAGACTCCATATTTTTGCCTCACAAATAATTAATTAAATGACATTTTGAATGTCAAAATCTCCCTTTTTTTTAATTATGATGTGAGTACCATTTCCTCAAATTGGAGTGCTTTTCTCTAAGCCTCCATTTCTKGTATGTTTCTCACATATTCTAACGGAGTAGTTCTCTCTCTTCCAAAACAAAATAAATAAATAACAAAATAAATAAATAACAAAACATTGTATGTATATCAACGTGTTCGAAATTTAAATTTAAGATTCCTGAAATAAAATTCTGGGTCTGTCACTATTGAGAACAATTCAAACTAGCTAAAGCAGCTATTTTTCATAATTATACTTATCTTAAAACTAAATGGCAATAAGAAGAGTATGTTGGGGTTGCAAAGTTTGCAAATAAAGTCCTATAATTGTTAAGGAAGAGAGTGATTCGTGGTATACAGATAAGAACAATTATTTTCATTGGTATGAGGCATTTTTAGTGAAATTACCAAAATCAAAGTCATGAGTGTTGTGCCCAAAGTAGACAATATCATACAATTGTAGAGATACTTGAGGGTACGAGAGTAGTGTTGTCCTCAACAACAATTGTATCAGAGCTATACTAAAAAACCTAGATGCGTAGGAGGAACCCTCGAGGGTCGAACAAGAGTGATTGGTAAGCCCAATAGTCATTGCGTAACTTGTGGATGAATCTCGGGATCTAGTTTACAACCAACATGCATGTAATATAATAAATATCCTATAAAAGGATGGAAGAAAGTCTACCATCATGTATTTTCACTATTTTTTAAATTAAAAAATCAAATAAATTACTATTATCTCAAACAACTAAACTCTAGTTTTTATGGACATTTAACTAGAGATATTTGAATTAAAAAAATTTGAAACTCCAATAATTATATTGGTTCTATAAACTGCTCCATCTTACACGTGTAATTTAATCCATGGACATTTTTGTCATTTGATTTCGAGTAAATCACTCTATATATTTGTTTCTAAAGTCACTTGGAAAATTTCCTATATATAATTTCTTTGCTTCTAATTCAGAAACACAGAAATTAGAAACAAATAAACTAAACCAGTTCGTTTCTTAAATGGGGTGTCTCAAAGAGCCATTAGGGTTCATGATTGTGGTGGCTTTGGTCCTTCTTCATTGCTCCACATTAGCTTCGTCCGCGTGGCCGAGTTGGCCAACATGGCATGTTAATATCGTCAACGAGCTGAACAGCGAACAAACGCTATTCGTGCACTGTCAATCCAAGGACGATGATTTGGGAGAACACAACATCAGTGTTGGAACTCAATACAGTTTTGCTTTCAAAGACAATATCTGGGGCACTACACTTTTTTGGTGCTATTTGCGCAAGCCAAACAATTCTCATGCTGATTTTGATGTGTATTGGGTTGACAACGGTAAAGGTTATTGGCTTTATACAAGATGCAACTGGAAAACTTGCATTTGGATCGCCAAAGATGATGGAATTTACATAAAAGATATTCCTGTGAATCAAGACCAGCTTATTCACAAGTGGGAGTGAAAATATATGTCAATTAATAAGAGGGGTATTTCCATTTCGTGTAATCTCATGGGATCCAAATGTTGAGGCTTAGTGTAAAAGTTTGTTGTTCAAGCTATAATATGGTTACTATAAAATTAAGTAGTAGTGTGTTTAAGAAATTTTTTTAGTATTCTAATTTTTCATATAATATCTAAATTATCCTTTAAATTTCTCTTGGTTGAATAAAATACTTTGGATCGTGTAATTTTTTTGGAGTAATGATTTAGTTTATAGATTTTAAAATTGATAATGATTTTGTCCCTAATTTAAAAAATTTCATTGGTTAAAATATAAATTTTAATTACGGTCGAAATTTTAGAAGTCCTCTATTATTCAGTTGGAGGAGTGCTGATTTATTTACAATTAAAAAAACTGAATGTTAATTTTTTTATTTCATAATTATAATTTGAATAAAAAAATATATAATAAATATAAAAATAACAAAAAATAAGAAATTATAAAATTAAATTTGATATAAAAAATTAAAACAAAAATGTCAACGTTCTATTTTTTGGACGAACCCATGTACACGGTTCCATTATTGGAAATTTCTATGAGACAGATAACGATAGTTGTGTTAGAGATAAGATTTTGAATGTGGATGTCAATAAAAATGTCAGTAAAAATATTGGTAAAATATTAACGTAGATGGATATTACTAGAAAAGTTATAAAAATAAAAAAATTCATAGAATAACAAATCACTCTTCTTAAATAACTTAAAATTTATTAATATTTTTTAAAATATTTAAAATTTATTGATATTATTCTCACATATATATATTGATATTTTTTATATCTTGTCAATTTTTTGGAGAGACATGATGCAGATAATGTCGATATTGAATCTATATGGATGAAAATATGGACGTGCATAAGCAAATGAAGCGTAAATTCTGCTTTGTAGTAAATAAATGGAGCCAAAATTCATGGAACTAAGCTTATATATATTGGTATAATTGAGAAATAAAATATAAAAACAAAATAATATAAAAGGCAGCTGTAATCCTAATCTTATAAACAAGATCTTATAAAATACAGGTAATAATTATTCACAGGGTGCACGTTACACGTTATAGGCCAAAAAGTCAGCATTTTTTTTCTCTTTGTTCTGAGACAAAATCTATGAGTTGTGTTTAACTATAATAATTATTTATTCTTTGATATATCAATTATTGTCAATTAATTTGAACTTTGTATATATAAACATCCCATGAATTTAGCCACTAGGGTTTTCTCTTGAAGCTTGACCCACATATTTCTTCTGCCCAATTTATTTTTCTTTAATTTATCATATATTCCTTCCCTATAATGAATGATGATATGTTTATTCGTCTCGGAGAAGATTGGTGTAGTGGTAAAAAATGGGATATTGTACGAGTCGAGTCCTACACTGGTTATTGTGCTCGGACAACAAGCCTCGATTATAGAGATCTACTAGTGTAAGCCATACGATATCAATTCCAAAAAGTAAAAAAAATGATCCTATACTTTTCATTAATGGCTAAAAAGTACGCAAAATACATATTTGAATAAAGTCAGTAACTTTTATAGAGAGACAACATTGTATTCTAAATTTTTATTGATATAATAATTGTTTTGTTTGTGCATAAATTTGGCGTAGCGAAAAATACGACGAGTACCATATCAAGAAACGAAAAACGTGATAATCGATCATGGGTTTTGGCAATATATCGAAATGAAAATTGTCCTACATTAGAAGAGTACAAGGATGATCTCTAAATGCCAGAAAGTTATCCCACATCGAAAAAATACAAAGACGATGTGTGATCCAACTAAACTCATGGACTTGGGTTTTAATCATCCTAATTGAAATACTCAAACCTGTTATAATAGTTCTAGTTAATAATTCTGGTTTGGAGTTTTGTTAATTATTGTGTTTCATTTTACTGATTTCTTTAAACTTCTCGAATATTTTCTTTTTATTACTGTGGTAGAAGTATAAAATTTTTCCCATCATTACGATCACATACTTAATTTATAATCCTTCCTCTCTAGTTATGATACCGATTATATATGTAAAGACATTGAACCTTCTTGCTCCAAAATTAGCCAACATTTAAAAAATACAAGCAGAAATCTAAGTTTTAAGAAGTAGAAAATTGTCAATCAGAGAGAAGAACTTTATTCAACAATCCATAAGGAGAATTATAGAGATTGCAATGGGCATCAATTTACAACATCACAAAACACAATTTTTAGTACACATAAAAATGAACCTATCAACTTTCTTCAAATTAGAAATTAAATAACATTCAAAATAACTTTAGAGATATCTATTTTTTTATTTTTTTTCTTTGCCATTTACTTGTTAAAAATGTTTTCAAAATCTAAACTAAAATTTAAAAACCTTCTTTTGAAATTTGCATAAGACTTCTAATATATTTATAAGAAAGGTCAAAATAATATTCTAAAACAATTTAGAAGAAATTTGAACATAATTATCACATGAGGTCTTAGCAAATCCATTACAAACTAACGAGGATAAATCTCACTAATTGAAGTTTCATTCCTAGAAATTTGGAGAGGTATGCATTCGGAATGATCAGACTGGTTCGTTACTAATCTGCTACGGTTTGAAAGTACATTGGACCCATCAACATTACTGTACATTAAAAATGCAGGTTTGGAAGGTCGAAGGAGAGTGAAAGAGAAGCTACTAAGCATCAAAATTACTGAAGCTATTGTTGGTCGTTCCGTTGTATTCTCTTGAACGCATAGTAGTCCAATATGAATACATCTTATCATTTCAATTCGAGAACCAGCAGTTAAGGTTGAATCTATCACATTTGTTATTGTTCCCGCGCTCCAATTTTTCCATGCCTGCAAAAAAGTGCACAAAAAAGTCTTCTAACTTTAGCACTTAGAAATATGTTAATTTGAAACGGGTGATATTATAGGACACAGACAAATCAACTACAAGCATACATGTAAGGGCATTTCAAGAAGCTATACTAGTGAAAGTTTTCATTCATATACTTACAAAGCTTAAAAGATCTTCCTCATTTGAATCTTCGGTGCGAAAACGAGTATTTTTTCGGCCACTCAAAATTTCAAGAACAAGAACACCGAAACTAAAGACATCTGATTTTACTGAAAATTGTCCTTGAATTATATATTCCGGTGCCATGTAGCCACTACAAAAGAACCAAAGAAAATTAATTAAATCAAATATAATGTGTAAAAGGGAACAAATAAAAATTCTAAACTTACTAGGTTCCCACAACTCTATTTGTATTCCTTTGAGTCTCATCTACTTCAAACAACCTTGCTGTGCCAAAATCCGCAATTTTCGGATTCAATTCTTCGTCCAACAAAATATTGCTGGCTTTGAGATCACGATGAATGATTCGAAGATGAGAATCTTCATGAAGGTAAAGAAGTCCGCGTGCAATACCAATTATAATCTTGTATCGTTTTCCCCAATCTAAAAGAATCTTCTTCCCAAAATCTACATCACCATCCATATACATGTAAATTAGTTTTGTCAATTAAACTAAATATGAATATGAGCAAATTACAAAGCATAAAATGAGATCATAATACCAAATATGAAGTGGTCAAGGCTGCCATTTGGTACAAACTCGTATATGAGAAGTCTCTCATTTTTGTGCAAGCAAAATCCAAGTAGCCTAACCAAGTTTCTATGTTGAAGTTTGGCCATTAAAAGAACTTCATTTTTGAACTCAACATTTCCTTCTTGTGAATTGTTTTCAAGTTGCCTCTTCACTGCTATATGCTGTCCATTTGGCAGCTTACCCTGAAATATAAAATCCAAATTATTATTATTATTGTTATTGCATTATATATAATGATATATTTAATTATTTTTTATCCAACTAGTAAAGCTTTTGTTAATTACCTTGTAAACAACTCCAAATCCACCTTGTCCAAGTTTGTTCTCATTGGAGAATTCATTTGTTCCTAACTTTATAGTCTCGAAATTAAATTGCAGCATCTCAATGCTGCTGATTTCATCTGTGGCTGAGGAAGAAATTTATATATTAAGAACAACACCATCTTTGTAATTTTAATTGACTATACCCGACAGCAAGCTCGATATTCATCAATACGCAAAAAAAAGTTTCTAAATACAAGAAATAAGAATTACGAACGTTACTAACACGGGTTGACTTACCTTCACCTCTGTTCAATGTTCGTTCAGTCTTTTGCTTCAGCTTCCTCCTCTTTCTCAAAATGATAAGAACGATGAAGATGATAATTATGGAAACAGAAAGCGTCCAAGCAACAACAATAATTACAACATTTCTAGTTGCTTTATTATTATCTCCTGCAAAATAAATAATAAATAATAAATTTTTTTCTCAAAAAATTAAACAACCGATAGATGTCAATAATTTTAACTACTTTCCAAACCATAATATTTAAGTGCTCATGGATAAAAGTTATCTTCTAAACTCACCCACCATTAAAAAATAATAACTAGAACCTTTTTAACAAGGTACGTTGGAAGATACCCACCCACCTTACTAGCAAGTACCTAAATGTAATTTTTTTTGCCGATTGTAGAATGATATACCTTTGATCGGAGGCGAAGATGGTGAGAGAACATCCGGCAGAGGCGGTGGCCGCGTCGGCGTCGGTGGCGGTGGAGGAGAGAGAAGTGAGTCATAGATAGGGTGGATCTCATAACCGATTTGACAACTCGTAACAACTGATTTCGCCCCAATGCTGCCGTTAGGAAGAGAACTCATAAGGCCACTGAGGCACACATCACAATCAACCAACGACATGTCGGGAAAACAATCAACCAGCCCATATATGGTATAAAAATTTGGACTTGGAAGCTTCACATCTCCGCCGGCAGACTTCCTAGTAGAATTCCCTGCCGCCGCCCTCTCCCGCAGCCCAATCAGCAACTCCGTCAGCGCCGCGTTAAAGCCATCCACGTCGGGGGCCGTTTCGAGATTGTAATAAATCTGAGTTGTCAACCCGGCCACCGACACGTCGCCGTGCAGGGAGTTGTTGGAGTAAACAATCTGGCAATCGTCATACCATCCCGTGCCCTCCTTCTGGGAAGGGCAGTCTTGTAGAATCCTGTGGGCCGAGTTGTTGACGCAAGTTTGGCATAGTTCCAACGGCGCACCACCGCGACACAGTGCCTTGGCGTTGGCTGGGTCGGGGTCGTTGCCAAAGGAGGCGTTGTAGAAGCCGTAGTTGGTTATCTGGGTGCTGGATTTGGACGAGATGGAGGCCAGTGCGTTGCGGAGATTTTGATGGAAACGGCTGCTGCTGTTGTTGCTGTCATCTGATTTGTCTGAACATTTGCTTAGAAAAAAGTCTGGCTGAGAAGTTGTTGTGATGAAAATGAAAATCAAGTGTGTGAGAATGAAGAACAACCTTCTAAAACTGACCATATTATCACGATTTTTGGGTGTGGAATGCTAATCGGGTTTGAAATATTCCACTTATATTTCTACTAATATAGTTTTCATTATCGATGGACAAATATATTAATACTAGAATCAGACCTACTATTTATGTGGATATTTACGTCACTAGATTACAATCTGCCACTCAAATTAAGAGAGAAAAAAAAAGTCAACGCTAGCTGATCTTCAGTTCCGTAGTAATAACGCCACCTTCCATTTGAAAATTCTTCGAGCTCTGACTAGTAAGAGAACCCTATTCAATTATTGGATTTGTATTTTTCTAATCCTCCATGATTGGATTTAGTTAAATAATAATAATACTTTAGTTTTAAGAAACTTGTTTAAGTCTAACGTTTGATTTGGATGAAATTAAAAAATTAAGGTTCAAGCTGATTGGCTAAAGAGTCCAATGTAAATTTAAGGTCAAAATAAAATATTATTGATGGATGAATTTGAGTTTTATTGGTCTTAGTAGGATCAAGGTAACAAGATAGCAACATGTCTAAATGTTAATTAAATAAAAATTTAACGAATTTCAAAATAATAATAACAATAATAAGAATGACCTAATTGAGAATTTTACTATATTAAAGGTAAAATTATAATCGTAGATAAAATATGAAAACGAGATCAAAATAGACATTTAAAAAATATATAGTGGGAAAAGATTTTTGAGAAGATGCAAAAATTGATGGCAATTGGGACAAAGACTCCTCATATAATATTGAAAAAGTTTAAGTTTGAAGAGTGGAACGGTACAGAAAATTTTTATCAAAAAGAAGAAGGTGACCAATGGCTAATGGCTTAATTAATCAAAAGGCTGAAAATAAAGTTGATCAAATTATATTCCGAGTGATCATCATCGAAGATGAGGCTGTAATTAAAGAAGTAGCAGGTGGGTTGTTTTTAAACAGGCAGCCCACGCATGAAGACTTATTAAATGATTCATTGAAGAGTTCTCCCAAAAGCATTAAGACATCAAGAATTCTTTTATATGGGAGGATATTCTATCTTCTACACGAGAAAAAAAGGGTTAAATTTATTATTTAAAATTGTTATGAATTCTCAAAATAAAACTAGTTAATAGTTTCACTATAAACAATTATAAATAATAACAATAATAATATCCTATCTTCCTTTAATTTTTCTTTTTGTTTGGTATACTAAATGTTGAGATATTTTATTTATTTATTTTTTTGAAGGAATATGGAGATATAGAGATTTGAAACTTGCTGCCTCAAAGAAATAGTATGAGAAAATAATTCACCCATGGGTTTAAATAAAAAAGGAAAATCTTACGTGAACAATTATACTCATTCCTAAGGTAAGTGGTCATCATGGATTTGAAATCGTTCCCTCTCAAGAAACTCTACTCGATCCCTTTGAATCAAATGAGTTTCCCATGATATCTAATAACCTACCAAGTTTAGTGAGACTAAATGTATAATTTAACTAGCATTTATGTTTTACATATACCTTGAACTAAGTATATTGTATAATGTATATGGAAATAAACAAAACACCAGAGAAAAAGGAAAACACAATTGGATTTAAATAGAAGAACACATATTTCAATTTATTGCATAAATCAAGCATTTGAGAGCACTGATGAAATAAACCATATTTGTTCTACTGATATGGTGGTATCATTTTCCAGGGATGTAGGTACTCATCAACATTCCGACTACCATCAAGGAGGAAAATCCCTCGGTCTTCTGCAGTCCAAAAGCACCTAAGATCCTTGCATTTGATGCGTAGCCACTCGGTCTTCTTCTCGACCCAAAACGCATCGAATGCACACTCATCCCTCTGTTGATCCTTGCACAAGTAGCACCAGAACAACGTCGTGTCCCAAATGTTCACTTTGAAATCCCATTTGAACTCGGTCCCGCTCTTGAGGGTTCGTGCACCCAAGTCGTCGTCTTTGGACTTACAGTGCACGAACAGTCGTTGCCCATTTTTCAGCGCGTTCTTGATATGAATCTCCCAATGGCTCAGTGGCTTCGGGCGAGCCACGGCCAGCAGCGAGATCAACAGGAATACCAGAAGATGGTTCTTGAAATAGATGGCACCCATTGTGCAAGTTGTGATTTAATTTGGAGGATTCTTTTGAGTCTATAAATACAGGGATGTTTATATGAGAAGTTTCCATCCAAGGAAATTAATTGATCAAAATGATATGGATGATGCGTTTTAGCTTTTCCTCAATTGATGAGACAGACGATGTTTTGTAAGAATGCGGATGATAATGAAGGAAAAAAAAGTAGGGGTTCAGAAAACCGACAATCCAACAGACTCAGAAAAATCTAACCCAAATTGCAAGGATTAGGTTGAGTTAAAAGGGAAAAAAATCGATTTGGGTTGGATTAGATTTTTGTAGAATGGAAACATAGGTTTGGTTCGTGGGTTAGGAAATTTTTTGGTTAGTCCAACCTGAATCAAACCGACTCTCTTTTAAATTTAAAATATACCGATGGATTCAACTTGCAAGAATTAAGAAATTGATTAGATCCAAGTAAAAAGTTTAAAAGCTCTTTTTATCTTTTCTTTTCTGTTTTTTTCCTTTCAATTTCCCTTCTCTGTTTTCATTCTTTTTTTTTTTACTCAAAATTTCAACAACTTGATGATTCGACTCGAACCAACTCCAAATGCTAGGAGTTGGGTTTAGATCGAGTTGGGTTGTATACTTTGTTTGGATCTCTCAGGTAGCAAAATCAACCAACACGAAAAATTTGGATTGGTCCAAAAAAATTTCCTTAATTCGAAACAACCCAATCCGTGTACATCTTAAAAAATTTGGATTACATACCATAAGTCTTTTTTGGCACTTTCCTTTTCCAGGACTCAAATAAAACATCAAAACAAAACATCAAAACAAAGTTTTCTGTCATTTGATGCATTGTTAGTTTTAGGAACATAAAACTATAAAAATTTAAGAATATCTGTTAAGTTGTTTATTCTTGGTCGTTGTATTTTACTTAGTAAAATTTTCAAGTTATCGATGCTTCTCAATTTTGTTTAGAGATTGATGATCGGATCATGTGTGATAAATTTATTGCAACTTCAATTTCATGGGGTACACATGGAGACTACGAAAAGTTGGTGAGGTAAATATAAAGTCGGTGAGGTAAATATAGAGAGTGAAAATAGTCAAATTATATAATTAAAATTTTTAACTAAGCATTTCGTCGTCTCTTCACTTAAGCATTTGGACACCGTAGGACGTGGCGCCTCTGATTTTTTTATTTTTTATTTTTTATCTCAAATCAAACCTGGTTCATCYATATATAAAAAAAACATTAAAATATTATCATATTATTAAAACAACGTGGTTATGTGTTTTCTCTTCAAGAGACAACATATAATACCATACGTATAAGACATCTCTAGACAACCTACTAGTGAAGAGACGACCTAGCGGGGACGAATTTCCTAAACATTATTTTTAATAAATTTCAAATTGATATTATTTTTAAAATAAGTACAAAAATTAACAATATTAAAAAAAAATCCGAGGAATCACCCCTTCCTCCTATGCAAAGGTTATTTTATTTTTATCCTAAAAATGACGAAGGGCTAAAAATAAAAGGGAATCCCCCACTCCCTCTTCCCCTAAAAAGTTATACAATGAAATGGAAACTTCTAATATATGCCAAAGGAAAAAATGAACCCTATTACATGTGTTAAAATGAGTTATGTTTTGCATAACTTAGCTTAAAAACTATACAAAATTTCATATATCGTTTTCAACCGTGCCAACATGAGTTTAGTTCAGCAGTAATTGACACATGTCTTTRACTAAAAAGTAATGAGTTCGAATCTTTTTTACTACCACTTGTGTATTAAAAGAAAAAGAATAATAAAATAAATCTTTTCATCGGTTTCAGGAACTAAAAATCATATTGGCAAGTATTTACTTCCCTTCTATTTACATGTAAAACTGTTTCTTGAACTTTTCAAGAAAAAGAAGAAAAAAACTGCTTCTATTACGTATTTGCATGTTAATCAACCAAATTTCAATAAAAAAAAGGCTCACAAAAAGCAATAAACCGTCASAAGAGTTCACCCCATCAATCACTTCAACAACGTATATAAAACTATTAGGAGTGTGATTACAAATCAGAGAAACACAAACTAGAAACAAGTTTAACTTGTGAAACTAAAATGGTCGTCTGTTGCTTCTCTTGGCGGCTCTTGTAGTGGTTCAACCATGTACGGCGGAGGTGCTCATTCCACTGCCACTCCCGACAAGGCGTGTTCATGTGGTTCACAGACTGAGCAACGATACCCTTTTCGTGCATTGTAAGTCCAAGGACGATGATTTGGGCAACCATAGTTTGGTCCACCGTGGAGATGAATTCCAATGGACTTTTAAGGTAAATTTTTGGGAACAACGCTGTTCTGGTGCTACTTGGAAAAACCAAATTTCAATGTGTCATTCGAATCGTACTGGGTTGRGAAACAATCCGGCCAATGTTGATGAACTTGTTCATCAATTGCAAAAAGTTAGTTGATTAGCTAAATTTGTATCAAGGTCTTGTACAATTCAATAATATTATAGCTAATCAATGAGAAACACATTGACGCATACCCTCTTTTAAGTTTTTTTCCTTTTGAGTTAACAACACTTTTTATATTCGCGACCTCTCCATGGTTATGAAATCTCCGAGTTCTAAAAATGCTTTAATTGAGGGGTTTATTTTGATAGACTAAATTGTCTTAGATGTGTTTTTGCCGTCAACATGAGTTTGACTCAACGATAATTGATACCTATCTCCTTACCAGAAATTATGAGTTTAAATCCATCACCTCACTTATTGTACTTAAAAAAAGAAATTTTTATGTAATTTGATAAATACAATCAATTATTTTTTGCTTGTGAGAATTTTATTAAGTATTTGGAGAAGACACATTCACTGGTTTACAACACATGGAGAATATTTATTTGAAAAGATTCAATCGATGGAGGGGTCGATCAAGTATTCAACATGCTTTAGGAAGAGATTTATTTTATGTATGAATCAATATTGACGGTAAATCATACTAATTTTTACTGTTAATTTTATTCTCTGCTATGGTCTCGTGGACTAGGTTGTGAAACCAAACTAGGTTAAAAATGTATGTGTGCTCTCTCTTTATTATATTGTTTTTAATTACTATTACAATTGCATACTCTCAATTGCTTTTAAAGTTCAACTCACAGTTACAATCCAGAAATAATTTTTAGATCCACAAATACTTTATTAATACTTTAATATTTTAGCACCGTAATTAGATCTTTCAATAATGTCGATTTAT